TAACTTCTTGAAAGATGATGTCTAGGCTCTCTTTTTGATCATGGTTTTCAGATAATCCAATAATTTTTAAATTCTCTCTCCTGGACCTATTTTTCAGGTAAATTATTTTTCCAATGAGATATTTCACATTGTCTTCTATTTTTCCATTCTTTTGGTTTTGTTTTACAATGTGTTGATTTCTCATAAAGTCACTAGCTTCCAATTGCTCCATTCTAATTTTTAAGGAAGTATTTTCTTCAGTGAGCTTTTGGACTTCCTTTTCCATCTGGTCAATTCTGCTTTTGAAGGCATTCTTCTTATTGGCTTTTTGGACCTCTTTTGCCATTTAGGTTAGGCTATTTTTAAGGTGTTTTTTAAGGTGTTTAGTGTTTTTCTGGGTCTCCTTTAGCAAGCTGTTGATATGTTTTTCATGATTTTCTTGCGTCATTCTCATTTCTCTTCCCAGTTTTTCCTCTACTTCTCTTTCTTGCTTCTCAAAATCCTTTTTGAGCTTTTCCATGGCCTGGGACTGATTCACATTTTTCTTGGAGGCTTTGGATGTAGGAGCTTTGACTTTGTTGTCTTCTTCTGGTTGTATGTTTTGATCTTCTTTGTCACTAAGGACAGATTCTATGGTCTGACTTTTTTTGTGCAGTTTGCTCATGATTACAGCCAATTACTTGAGTTTTAAATGCTTTGTTAAGGTAGGGGTCTGCTTCCAGTGTATAGAATGTACTTTCCCAAGTTTCAGGGGTTTTATGCAGCTGTTTTCAGAGATAACTTGAAGGGACCTATAAGTTTTTGGTTATTCCAGGGTGGTATAATGAAAGGTGAGGTGTTTACTCCTTTCCTGGCCCGGGCTCTCTGGTTTATGAGTGACCACAAGCACTCTTTTCTGCCTTGGAACTGTGAGGAGGATTCCCTGTGTACTGCCACTATAAACTCCAACATGCCAGCACTCCTCCTCACCCCAGGACTGTCACCCAGAATTGTGACCCAGATCCAAGCACAGGCAAAGGAAGAGAATCTTGCCTCAGCACCAAGGAAAGAGATCCCTGCAATCTCCCTCTGATCAGCTACTCAATTCCCCCTCAGTCTGTGGGCCAGAAGCTCCAGAAGCAGCCGCTGCCCCAGGGCGTGCCAGGACTGGGGCTGGGACCTAGCTTCTCTCTCATCACAGTCAGAGACTTTTTCTACTGACCTTCTAAGTTGTCTTTGGCTTTTGTGGGTTGAGAAGTCTGGAAACCACCACAGCTGCCCATGATTTAGCACCCTGTGGCCTGCTCCAGGTTCACTGAGGCCTGTTTTGCCTGCGTGCCCATGCTGGTGTGATAGACCTTTCTAATTATCCATTGAGGTTGTCTTGGGCTGGAAATTTGTTTCACTCTGTCTTTTTGTGGGTTCCGCTGCTCTAGAATTTGTTTAGAGCCATTTTTTTACAGGTACTTGGAGGGGTTTGGGGGAAACCTCAAGTAAGTCACTGCTTTTACTCTGCTATCTTGGCTCCGCCCCATGAACACTCTATCTTTCCCATTTTTCAGAAGAGAAAATAGGTGCAAACAGAAGTTAAGTGACTTGTCCAGGGTCACACAACTAGTAAGTAAGTACCTTAGGTTGGATCTGAACTCCGGTCTTCCTGATTCCAGGTGCAGCATTCTATTCACTGTGTTATATCAGAGCCAAAAAGGTGTGATTTAGCAAATACCCGAAGGAAGTCAGGAAAAGAAGACAGTGGAGATGAGAAGGAAGGGAGTTCCAGGCATGGAGGATTAGCAGAAAAAATATGTGGAGTCTGGAGATGGAATATTGAGTGCTAGGAACAGTAAAGAGGCCAGTGTCACTGGTTTGTAGAAAATATAGTAGAGGGGAGGAGCAGGAAGGTGTAAGAAAACAGGAGGATTTTTTGAGTATGAGGGAGACATAGGCATGTTTGTAGATAGCAGAAGCAGCCAACTGACATGGAAGACATTAGTGAGAGAGTACATATATAGAAGATGAGATGAAATAGGATCACATGTGCATGTAGAGAGATTCATCTCAGCAAAGAAAGAGTTACCTCTTCATGTGAGAGAAGAGTGTAAGCCATGATAGTCATGGAAAGCATCTTGGTGATGTGAAATGAGGAGGATGGATTAAGAGGGGGCACTCAGTGAATGGCTTCAATTTTTTCAATAAAATATGAGACAAGGTTTTAGGATGAAAGGCTTGAGGAAGGGGGAGTCATGGGAGATTTCAGGAGAGATCAAAAGCTTTGAAAAAGTCTCTGTGGTGAGTGGATGGTGCATGGACTAGTGAGACATAAAAGGATTGCCTTGCCACACTGAGGTATAATTGAGATTATGTAACATAAACTTGTAGTACACTCAGTCATTATGGTTTCACGATTTTCTCCAGCTTCATTCAGCAGCACATTAGCAGGAGTGAATGTAGCAGATTATGGGAATAATCCAAGACTGAGGTTTGAAAATCGGAAGATCTTTTATAGGATAAAAGAGCCAGGGACTTGATTTGAACTGGTTTAACACTGGGTCACAATAAGGAAGAGAAGAAAATTTAGCCTGTGCAGGGCTGATAACCTGAGATAGGACTCAGAGATGGGGATAATGGTAGTCACATTGAGGAAGAAGATGAGGGTTTAGAGCTGCAAACTCCAGAGGGAGAGGAGGAATGGCAAAAGATTATGAAAAGATAAAGGAATTTCCAAGGTCATGAACATGAATATCAAATCATGAGGAATGAATTTAGGTAGGTTAACAATGTCCATAGGAATGTATCACACAAAATAATAATGAAGATCTGTTAATGGGGTAGGAAACCACCTCCAATAAATTTCAGAAGTAGGCTTATTAGATAGTACAAAACATTTCAAGGAGCGTGGTCTGGAGTTCAGCTTTGTGGGCTATTTGGCTTGCTTACTGTATCTTTATGGACCATTCATTTGGTTAACTTCCTCACCAGCTGAATGGATAGGTGGAATAGAGGATGGAGAAACGGGTTTGAACAATGGCAAGTGGAGGCTCAGAATCACCAGGATAGGGAGAGAATGACAGGACAGGAGTAAGAATATTAACTGTTGAGGAAGGAGTTCAGGTAGATTATCATTGTCTAAAGGGGTTTAGCCTCAGGTGGGGCAAGGCAAACTTAGTGGAGGTGCAGGTGACAGAGGGTACCTGGACCATTGTGGAATGGCTATTCAGGGAGGCTAGTTCAGGCAAGGCAATCCCTTTAGAGATGTAGTTGGCTAGAGAGGGTTTCTATCTGATTTTTCTACTCCCAATACATTTTTATTTCTATTAGATTTTAGTAGGCACATCTGATGCACAACAAAGTACAAGCATGTGCTATGACGCTATGACTTCAATGTAACGCTACTTGCTTCAACATATTAGGAATTCATGATATTATCTATGTGGGAACTGTTTCTTCTGATGCAGATTAAACTATTATGAAAGGCTGAGCATGTCTGATGAATTGTTAAAATCAGAAAAAATTCATCATCTGGTGGTGAATCCTCTGGTGATAAACCTTTTCAAACTCATTCAAATGTAATCTGTTACTGGGTCCCTAGAACTTACTTGAAGCTAACAATTCAAGTGGTATACTTCAGAGAAAGTAGGGTCACCTCCACACCCTGACAAGGGTTTTAGTAGAGAACAAAGTAATGATACCGTATTTTTTAAAGTAAAAACACTGGAATTTACAGTTAAATATGAGTTGCTATCCTTCACAATAGTCACTTTGGAAAACTATACTGTCATTCTAATGATACAATTATCATTCAAAACATTTGTGGAACTCTTTTCTTAAAACTGTATTAAAAAAAATCAGTTTATGATCTAGGTAAGGTAGTCAACTTTAGGTACTTTATGGTCACATTTAATTTTCAACACAAAACGGCATTGCCCAATACTGTTTACCAGACTTGTCTTAAGATGATTCTGGATTTTTCAACAATCAAATCTACCTTCAACAGAAAGTCTTCAATGAGAATAGTCAGAAATGGACCACAGTCTCTGAAAGCTAATTCCAAAATAGCAATATTCTGACCAATGGTTACTTTGTTGAAAATGTGGATAGTCTCCTAAGATGATGAGACTGAAGGAGATAATATTCATTTTCATGTTTAATTTCTGACTTATTTGTTAATCCTAATAACTAGTTCTGGATATGAGTAAAATCATGTGCAAAAATAAGTTGGGAAAATTAATTATGGAAATTTAAAAACAAATTAATTTTAAAATCAATCAAAGCCAGAAGTCAAAATATCTGTCAATAGGAGTAACGTTCTAAAAATGTGGTCTACTTCTATGGACAGACTTTCCATTTTGTTGCTGTTCAGACATGTCAACTTTCTGTGACCCTGTGGACCATACCATTCATGAGGTTTTCTTGGCAAAGATACTGGAGTGGTTTGCCACTTTCTTCTCCAGTGGATTAAGGCAAACAGAAGTTAAATGACTTGCCCAGGGTCACACACTGTCTGAGGCTGGATTTGAACTCAGGTCTTCCTGACTCCAGACCCAGGGCTCATTCACTGAGCCACCTACGTGCCTCCAGTTTTTGGTCAATGCTAAAGACAGAAAAATCTTAAACTTGGGTCTTATATCTTTAATATGTTTGGTAGTCATCTTGAGTTCTATTGTATTCTCCAAGCCAATAACCAACAGCTACAGTGCACAAAGGAACGTCTATATTCTGTTGAGAAAAGTAGTTTTCAAATTGTATTCTATACCACTCCCAGAGTTTCACAAGGGCAACATCTACTGTTAGATCCCTGTAAAAAGGTGGCTGCAGCAGACAATCTATTTGTTCTCCCACAAAGACTCATGTTGATACTATGTCAAGAGCTGGACTTCTAGGGTACAAAATAGAATACAAAGGCTTTTATAACCTAAAAAGCTGCGAAAGCCTTTGCTGCAGACTTCTGATTGTTATCCTTTCTACTACAGTTCTTAAGGATATTACATATTACCTCCAAATGAATAACAGCATAGTATAAAATGATTACAAAAATTACTAACCATGGAACTCTGGTTACTGTTTTCTCCTATCAAGACATCAAACATCTTGGCTACTTCTCCTTTGAGAGAGATATTGTGTTTTTTCAAGGCAGAAACATGCTTTGATAACTGCTCTCTTAATGGGCTGGAGTTAGATAGTTCTTCAGAGCTGTAAAATAAAAATACAGAAAAAGTGATCAATTTGTCACATTGATTAATGATCACTTACAGAATGAAACCTGAAATGACTAAGTACAAGCTTCTAAAACAGCAATAATCAAAATACAAACTTAATCTTGGGTTCAAAAGGACATGAGCCTTACTAGATTATGTTGCTTGCAATCAGAATATGCTGCTTTGAAAATAGTCTCATGGTCTTTATAGCTAATCCCTCCATATGTATATAATCTGAAAAAGATGAGTTTATTTTCTTACCAAATTTCTTTCAATGAAAACATTATGTTTATTTTAAGAGGCTAAACACAAAAGTATTAACTAGTATTAATAACACTATATTTGAAAAGCTAAAAATCACAGCAAGATCAAAAGTAATAGAAACGCCAGAGGATAATGGTGTAATTTCCTCTTTAATTAGATGCCATCTTTAGCTGTACATATTGGTCATTACTTACTCTGATTCTAGTATCCTCTCATACTTGAGTAGACACTTTTAAAAATTCCTTTTGACTTCTTAACTCAGTGTCAAAAACTATCCTGGACCTTCTAATTGGTTTTCCATCACAAATCCTTGCATACAGCATTTCACAATTGTAAGCATGTTCCCTCTGGAACAATGGTCTCCAACGTGGAGGTTAGGGTCCCCTGGGAGGCCTTCCTCTCTTTGCTCCAAGGACTAATCCCTAGGGGCATGTGATCAAACAATCAGAGGGTAGATAAATGGGAAGCATCTCATCCTTACTCTAAGAGTCAAATCTGAGCTTGTTTCAAATACAACCATACCCTTATGCCTCAACATTCCCCATCCTTCTGCTGTACAAACTGCCAACTTTTCCCCTTCTGAAATAGAGCTTGTTCCTCAGGTCTCCCAGACACCCCCAGCAGTTATCTACACAGGTAGCATTGTAAAATTCAACTCACTTCCTCCCCCAGCCCATAACCTTGGAGCTATGGTAGGTGCCCTTAGAAGGAGGATGGTGGCAGTATTCCTGGACAGAGGCTTGGCAATATGTGATAGGCAAAAGGAAAAAGGGACAAAGGAATAGAGGGTAAAGAATGGTGTGCAGTTGAGCAGATTTACCAAAGGACTGAGAAAGATAGGGAGTAGAGTGTAGTCATTGTAGCGGTAACGGCGTAGAAAGAGCTGAGGGATAGAGGAAATGGTAATTATGATGAGAATGAAGAACAGGATATAAGAGGTGGTAAGTCATAGGGAAAGATGGAATAATAAAATATTAAAATTAGATAACAGAATTTAGGAGTTTATAAACATGGAACCGTAAAACTTAGGTGAAGGCAAGATCAAAGGTATGCCTATCTCTGTGTGTAGCTGAGGTCAAGTGGAAGAGAAACAGACTGAGGCCCTTTAGGACATTTGAGAGATTATCAATATGTACAGAAATGTCTCCTAGTGTAAAAGAGGGAGATGGGGAGGACAGAAAGATTATGAGTCATGCATTCAACTTAATGAGAAAGGAAGGAAATGTCCTGGAGGTTATAGAAAGCAGCTATCAAGATTTAGATAGGATGATAAATTTGAGTAGTGTGAAACTCAAAACAGATTAATTAGGGTCTGAAAGTGGTACTAAGAAGCAAGGAGTAATGCAGCTCCTCAATCATGATCAATGAGATGGAGAGTATTAGAGAAAAAACAGTCAGTAATGGAAAAGATGGTGGGGGAACATGTTGTCAAGAGGGTGTTATTTCTTTCTGAAGAACACAAGATGGAAGGAGTAAAAAAGAAAGAGGTTTAAGATGAAAGGAATTTTGTTACTTGCTGAGCAAGCATTCCCAGGAGCTTGGTATTATTAGAATAGTTTGACTATAAGGAGACAGGGGTATGCTAATTATTTAAACACAACTAAACAGAGTTTTTTTTAACAGAGATATCAAGTTATTTAATCATAAATATGTAAAATGGTAAAATTTTTTTAAATTTCAGGTATTTTATTTTGTGATTGGGGGAGGTGTTAGGAAAACATCTTATTTTCTAATGCTATAAAAAGAACTAAAACAATTTTTCTCTTTAAAGACTGATTATTTCATTTGTGGAAAATACTGCAGATTATAAATTACCAATACTTATTACCCAAAATGTTCAATTCTGTACTAATTTACCAAACTTAATTAATTAGTATTTTGATTTCTAAATCAGTTTTTTGTGAGTTCAATTACAGTAAAGCAATTGATTATGGTCATCTCTCTTGGGTGAACTGATAAAAATTAATTTGTAGACCCAAAAAACTGAAGATCAGACTTTGTAGGAAAGTGATCCCTTTAAGGTACAGTTATTGTCATAAGGCCTAGCCTAAAAGAGACCTCTTTATTTATGATTGCTCTGCTCACTCACAAATAAACTAAGAAAAAATGATGCTAAATTACTTGTACATGGTCATACACCAAATAAAAGATAAATGGAACTACAAAACTGGACTTTTATTTCTGATAGCCAGTTCTAACTCTTAAAGAACTCAATTAATTCTTACCCAAGGACTTCCGCTTCCGGGAACCAAGATGGAAGAGTGAAAAGGTAGTTGCTTTCACTCTCCCCTATCAACCTCTGAAAACCCAGAAAATATCACCCGAGGAAAAAAACCCTGGAACACCTGAACTAGAAGAAAGATGGGGAGCAGCAGCGTAGCAGACCAGCAAATGGGTCTCCCAGTGCCTCAGCAAAAATAAGGGAGGCAGAACTAAAAGGGTCCCCAGGCAGATAAGTACTCTGCAGCATTCATCTGAAAGGAGGTGAAGAAAACAACCTAAAGGCTTTCTAAAGCCCTGGCCTTGCTGATTCCAACAACCACCTGAGCTGTGAGCCCTGCAGCCTCCAATTGTGAAGAAATCCTGAAGCCCAGGTGGTAACAGGACACCAACACCTGGACCTCCGAGTGCCTCAGTGAGGGCAGGTGGAACCAGTGGAAACCAGCTCAGAAAACCACCAGGTGCCTTGGCACTCTACCGGCAAAGGAATCTCCCACTGCATTAGCAGAAACGAGGGAGACAACACTGCAGGGGGCCCCAGGCAGATAAACACCCTGCAGCACCCATCTAAAAGGAGCTGAAGAAAGCTAAAGGAAAGGAAAAGCAGGCAACCTAGAATTGCCTGAAAGTTCCAGCCTTGCTGATTCCAGCCCACAGAGGTAAGCTGCCAGAAACCTACAGCCTCCAATTCCCAGCATAAGAGGCCCCAGCACACAAAGCCAGTGACCAAGACCTAGGCTCCAACACAAGAAGCTTGGGTCAGTACCCTCTGCTCCCCAGCAGAGCTCAATCTCTTTAAAGGCCAGGGAATAAAGAAACACCATGAGTAAAAAGAAACGTACCATAGATTCATATTATGAGAAGAGTGAAGATCAAGACAGAAATTCTGAAGAGGACAACATTGTCAACAAACCCACATCTGCAACAACAAAAGGGAATATGAACTGGTCTGAAGCCCAAAAAGCCTTCTTAGAAGAGCTCAAGAAGGATTTTAATAGTCAAATGAGAGGTAGAGAGAAGAGTCCTTCAAAAATACAATTGGCCAATTGGAAAAAAAATACACTGAAGAAAACAAGTCCCTAAAAAACACAATTGGCCAATTGAAGAAGGAAGGACAAAAACTAACAGAAGAGTATACTGAAGGAAACAAGTCCCTAAAAAACACAATTGGCCAGTTGAAGAAGGAAGTACAAAAACTAACAGAAGAAAACAATCTGTTAAAAACTAGAATTGGACAAATGGAAACTAATGTCTCTATGAGAGAGCAAGAATCAGTCAAACAGAAACAAAAAAATGAAAAAATAGATGAAAATGTAAAATACCTCATCAGTAAAACAACCGACCTGGAAAATCGACTCAGGAGAGACAATTTAAAAATTATTGGACTACCTGAAAATCATGATGAAAAATAGAGCCTGGACAGTATCTTTCAGGAAATCATAAAGGAAAACTGCCCAGAAGTCCTAGAACCAGAAGGGAAAATAACCATAGAAAGAATCCACCGATCACCATCTGAAAGAGATCCCAAATTGACAAGGCCAAGGAATATAATAGCAAAATTCCAAAATTACCAGATGAAAAAGAAGGTGCTGCAAGCAGCCAGAAAGAAACAATTTAAATATCATGGAACCACAGTCAGGATTACACAGGACCTTGCAGCTTCTACATTAAAAGACCACAGGGTGGAACATGATATTCCTAAGGCAAAGGAGCTTGGAATGCAGCCAAGGATCAATTACCCAGCAAAAATGAGCATCATTTTTCAAGGGAGGAGGTGGATATTCAAAAATAGGAGACTTCCAAACTTTCCTGATAAAAAGACCAGAGCTCAACAAAAAATTTGATCTTCAAGTACAGGACTCAAGAAGGACTTAAAAGGTAAATGGGACAGAAGATACAATATGTTGTTAATAAGGGGGGGGCTGTTTAAACCCCTACAAGGGAATATGAGACTTGCAACCCTTGAGAACTGTATTGTTATTACACCTTGTTAAAGGAGTATACATAAAGAGGGTGGATATTAGTTGACTTTGATGTAATGATAAAAAAAATCTAATCAAGTGGGTTAAATGGATCCAAATAAGTGGATCAATCTGATCTTAGAAAATGTACTGAGAAAGGAGGAGGCAGACAAGGGTAAATTACATTACAGGAAAAGACACAAAATCCTATTACAGCAGAGGGAAAGAAGGGGGGAGCATTGTTTGAACCTTACTCTCATCAGATTTGGCTCAAGAAGGGCATAATATAATCAGTTAGGTATAGAAATCTAACTTGCCCTATAGGCAGTAGGAGGGAAAAGGGGAAAGAAAAGGGAGGGGGGAAAGAAGGGAGGGAAGAAGCAGTAAGACTTCATGGAAGAAAAGGGAAAGGGATAATAAAAGGGGGAAGGGACTGAAGGAGGGGTGGTCAAAAGCAAAACACTAGTGAAGGGGGAAAGGAAAAAGGAGAAAGAAAAGCATAAATGGGGGAAAAGGATGGAGAAAAAGACACAGATAGTAATCATAACTG